GTATTCCCCCCCCCCCCCAAAAAAAAAAAAATAAATAGAAAACTAAATGAAAAATAATTTGTTAAAAAAATGAATGTCATTGAAGACGTGTGAGTCATGTCAAGAATTATGATTGCCAAGTTGTGACGAAACATTGAAATTAAGCCCTACAGGAAAGAACTACTGAAAAAGAATTCTGATTAGTATGCTTGAATCGTACGTGAAGTAAATAAGGATAAAAATATTTCAGCTTATCTCTTGTAAACCGGAATCAACTCTTTTTTTTTAAAATTATAATTCACGTGATTCGTTCAGTAACAATTTATGACAGAAACGTGTTCATAGGATTTCTTCGTTACAATTTAATGAAATTTCACTATTACTTTGAAAAGCTGAAAAAAAAAAAGAAAAGGAAAAAATATATTAAAATATCTCATTTTAAATTACTACAGAATTAAAATCTATAATTTTTTTTAACCCAACTAACTAAACATTAAAAAACTTTAATTTTTTATATTTCAAACAATGGATACGTTTTAGATTTTATGCACATTTTTTTAAATCTAAATTTTATGAATTAAAGAATTTCAGGAAGTACTTTTTGTCTGAGAAAAATAATTTTTCGACAGTTAAGAATCTGAGAACTGTTTTTGTATAGTAAAAAAAAAAGATTTTTTTTTAAATATGTATTTTTTCTTTAATGCAGTTAAAGACAGCTTCTTTAATACAGTTAAAGTTTTCTTTAATACAGTTAAAGAAAATTAAATACTGTCAAAGAAACTTTTCTTCTTCGCAAAATGTTACTGTCACTAAAATGTTTATTAGAAATAATAGGAAAATTATAATATTTACTTTTTGTTTTTTTTTTAAGTTTTTCGCATATACATAATTACATAATACATAGTTTTATACATATATGTCAAATACATTCACAGCTAATGTATCTTAATGTTTAATTGTTAGCTTAATTTTTAGAAAATTTTCCAACTAAAACCATTTTACTATAACTTTGTAAAATTTTTGAAATTATAAATAAAAGCGAAATAAAACGCACAACAAAAATTTATGATTTATTTTATGTGTTAAAGTATAAATATAAATATCAAAAATAGTTTTAGAATTTCGAAAATTGTATAACCGACTAAAAAAAAAAAATTCGACATGAAATGAGACTGTACTCACCTTTTCTAATATTGGCCGATTACAGGAAGCGCATTTGTCCAATTTATTCTGAAAATTATAAAATTCCTCTTTAATAAAATTAGAAAATTATAATATAAGAAATACATCATCAGAATAGATACTTTTTTAATGAAAACATACTACATAATGGTATAGAATATTAAATAAAGTGAGGTTAGATATAATTCATTATTGTAATTATAATTAATTTAGGTAGTAAATCGTTTCTATGTAGTAAAAGTTACTTGTCATTAATATAATCAAACTAGGCTGAATTCAGACCAACTTAAAGTTCAAAAAATTTGCTGGGAATGAATTCTCATGCTAATATATAGGCATTGCATATTTCCTAACTTTTCAAATTAATTAAATTCTTGAAAATATATTTAGTTCTTCTAGTTCTGAATAGAGGAAATTGACTAAATACTTCTGACAGATCGCATGTTGGCTGAAGAACCAAACGGCCATCACTGGTAAATTATTAACCCTTTTGCGCCGACTATTACAAATACGTGACAGCATAAAATCGTATTAATCAGGGTAAAAATATAAAACTGGTAATCAAAGTATTTTTTTAGCAGTTTATTTGTGGGCGGAGTTATAACTTTTTGATTTATTTAATTCACCAATACTTTGTTCAAAATAAAATTATTTAGTCATACTTTGAATTAACATTGATTATATATATGATTAAACTAACAATAATTAAAATAAAAGCAAAGTAAGTATGCCAAATTAGAAACGACTACATTTAAGTTACCGTTTTTTATTTAATTACAACTGGATTCTGATTTTGTACGAATGCTTTTCTGAATCACCCGTCCCCAAAGGGTTAAAAAATAAAAGATTCGTCCTCTTATGTTTTCTGAATAAATATTGAACACGCTTTAATTTTTAAGATTTTTGGAAAATAATTTTAGATGCTGAAATATTATTTTTGCAAACTTTTGGTTTTATAAGCAAAACTTTACTTCACTAAGGTTTAAACACCAATATATTTTAAAACGCATACAAAATAAATGTTTTGAATATAAAATGAAATTATTAGAGTAGACTTAAATTGAGTTTTTATCAAAGGATGAGCAAATTGCTATGCGTTGGAGAGTTTTTAAATGTAGACACAGTTCAAAAAGCGTTTTTAAGAAAATGGACGCAGCTTGAAATGCGTGTTTTCAAAGATGGGCATCTTTAGTTTTCCACCATATTTTAAAAATTAAACGAGCAATAAATTGCTTTCTTACTTATTTAAACGTTAATATTAATCATTACGAAATATTCAGAACTTTAACAAACTTTAAAGTGAGTTTTGAAACTGTAAATTTCTACAATGTAAATTTATTACCATTTTTATTAATTTATCAAACTTAATTGTAAACACGTGGAAACCTTGTAAAAACAACTCTTGCCTTTAATTATTTCTTTTTTTAAAAAACTAATTTATAATAAAATGTAAGTAATTTATGCAGGTGTTTAACAAATGGGTAATGTGACATTATGCATTTATTTGGATTTATTAGTTTATTATTTTAAAAAAGACCAATAGTCATAACAGAAGTTTGAAAAATGGAATAAAATGTGCTATGACCATTTTCTTAAACACGCATTCTGAGTTTTGCTTGTTATTTTGAACTATGCCCCTTTTTGTAAACACGCAATTTGAGCTGTGTCCATTAACTACAGAAAGCATCTGAAGTTGTGTCTATTTTGATAAACACGCATTTTGGTGCAAATTTTTTAAAATACGCATTTGGAAGGTTTACATTTTCGTAAACACGCATTTTGAGATGCGTTCTCTTTTTTAAACACGCATTTTGAGCTGCGTCCATTCTCTTAAACACGCTTTTTAAGCTGTATCCATACTCAAAATCTCATCAGCGTATGGTTTTGTATTATTTGACTCTCCGACTCAGTGTTGCCTGTCAGCCAACACTTATTCAAAAAAATATTGCAAACCACGGAAAATTGAAAACATTTTGTTTCATCGTATTTTAACAACCATCACTTATCATCAATTCAACCTCACCAAAAGCGTATTGGAACTATAAAATTCTGCACAAATTTTGAATTGAATTAGTTTTAAGTTCCTTCACCATGATGATCTTCAATTCTCCATCATCATCAACTCATCACCCTCAACCGAACTCTTCCTCACAGCACAGAGCATAAAAGCGAAGAGCCTCTTCTTCATCCTACCCAAGAACGACCATCATTTTTTAAAGAAAATAGATTTCCAAGAATATATGTTTATTGAGAATAAGCCATCTGCGGTCGCACTAGCTATAATGTGCTTCCTTTACATTTTTACACTAATATATAGCAGTTTAACGTTATAAAAAAGAATAAAACATACCAGATAGTCTTCCTCACAATAGGGTTTCCCATTCATTGTATAATAAGGCTTGCCATACAATTCTTTACCTGTAAACGAAATTGTGTTTGTCAGAGACAACTTGAATTTAAAAATGTGTTAAGCATTTAAAAGTCACATAATTTCATTAGCACATTGTTTTGCAGCACTGTATTTACAGCAGTTGTCCAAGGGTTCTAACTCATACGAAGAAGTTTATCTGCAGCCGAACACAGGTCCTTTGAAGCTAATCATATCTAGTCGAATTAACGCGTTGCATGCAAGAAAATTTCTCAAAAATATAACTAGGTTCTTACAGATTGAAATGGTTGAAGAAGTGGTTGGCAAGATTTTATCAATTGAATTGAGACACTTGCCGTATCGTGCGATCAACTTTTGTATCCCTCTGTCGTAGATCGCTGCCGCCTGTGAATGGAACCAGCGTGTGACAGACGTCTACTGTTACTGTGACCGTTACTGTGCAACACTGCGGAAATTGTGAGAACAAGAATAGTGGAATGTTTACTGCAGGTGTTGAGCTCCTCCATGACAAAGCTTGTTCACATACGGCATGGCGCACAGCAGCTGTTTTGACGGAATTTGGTCAGGAGTTGTTTGATCATCCACCCTACATCCCTGATATTGCTCCCAGCGATTTTCACGTTTTCTTGCACCTCAAGAAATTGCTGTCCTCCGGTGGGCGTTTTGGCAACGACGAAGAGCTGAAGACGTCTGTCGCACGTTGGTACCATTCACAGGCGGGCAGAGTTCTACGACAGAGGGATACAAAAGTTCCACGCTACGACAAGTGTCTCAATTTTGGTGGTGGCTATGTTGAAAAATAGCTGAAACATTGCTGTACTTGTTGCCAATAAATATGTTTCTGAAAGTGTGAGTTCTTTTCTTTTATAAATTAGGGAAACTTACTTTCTGGATGCGCCTCGTATTTAAAAAGAATCTCCAAAATGTGCAATAGACGTATTAAGTTTTAACTCATACATGCCACAGAAGACTAAAAATGTAAAAAGTGGTGGAAACTCAATTCATTTTATCCATTTAATATCACTTTAATTAGTCAATTTTAACTACCACTAGAACTTACATTTTAAATTAATCATATTTAACACGGATAAAATATCAAGTTCATTAGTAATCGTTATCATCATCAACTGTTCCCGCCCTTGTAACATACTCCCTTTATGTTTCAATAAACGGGTGAGCCTAAAAAAAATGTGTAAACCCTTTTCGGATGCATAGGAAAATTGACCTCCAGGGAAATATGAATTCTAGAGATATCCATGACTTTCCACAGGGCGATAGGATCTCGGAACTAATCCCCCCAATTGTTTTTTTTTTTTTATCATCTTTTAGATCTTCTTCAAGTTCTCCCAAAGTTTACTCAGAATTTTTATTCACTTCATGTAAAATATTTCCACCTTAAGAAATCTAATCCTATCAGGTACAACAAGTTTTCTACTGGGGATAAACACAATTGTGTAGGTGCCCCACAAAATTAATATAGTTCCAGTTCCATTAGTAATCCAAAGATGCCAACATGTTCCGGACAGCGAATAAATATTTTCAGGTGGTAGTTTATTAACTGTGATTCTTGGTTTAATGAATTCAATTTATTAGATTTTAATCTACCGCTAATTCTAAATAATTCGTAGGTTTATAAAATTCACCACTTTATAATAGTTATGTCATGCTAAACCTTTTAAAAAGCAAGCAAAATTAGTCAAATATTTGCAAAATTTAGTTTGTAGCTATGTACCGTTTTTTAAATTATTTTGGCACGTCCGGAGTAGTTGGCATTTATGGTCATCGAAAAAAAAATATGCCATAAAAATATTAACTTTATTTTCCCGTAGTAAAATTGTTAAATTTATTGGTCACCATATTTTGCATTTTCAGTCACTCGTGGCAACCTTGTAACTTTTTCAGTAAGAGCAGAAATTAGAAATATCAAATTTTTTATGTGTTTTTAATTATCTGAAATGTCCTCTAATAAGTTTTCGAATTAACCTTTGTTGTACTCTAATAAGGTTAAATTTCCTCTATTGTTCTCTAATAAGTTTTCCAAAAGCTCAATCACAAAACAAAGAAATCTTAAGTAGGCATTCATTTAAATTACTAAAAAGTTTCAAAAACGTGTCACTGACTGAGACATTTAAATCCAAACATTTTCAATAAGATCAAAAATTAGAATTTTTTTAAAAATATTTTTGTTTTCATAAAATGTCTCCATATGTGGGGCATATATTTTGAAAAAAATTTAAAAACTGTGTCGCTGACCTTCTTAATATCAAGAAATCTAATATTATAACGGATAATACCTACAACAGAGGGAACAGACAAAGCATCTCTGGTGGTAGTTTAGTTTTTCAGCTGTGCAACCTTTTTCAGAAATCACACCCAAACATTTTGCACATGTACCTGTAATTAAATATAGAAAAAATCATTTGCCATTACTGAGGATGCTTACAAATTGTAGTACAATATAACAAACTTAAAACAAACATGTCATTTTTACGAAATCAAAGTAAACGCTTAGGGAAATATAATGATAAGCCACTCATTTAAATTGCGCAGGAAACTGTTTCTGAGAGTGTTTTCGGGGATAAACAAAATTTTCTTGTAGGAAGTAAGATATTTCTGATAAAATTCCAAAAATATCGGTGTTGCTCGGTGATGATTCAAGGTTGCGTGATTTTCCTACTCTCCACACTTTTACCCTCCCCTTTACCATAGTTTTGGCAAGTCTTGCTCTTTCCCCCAAGCAAATATGTTAAATTTCTACTCGGTAATGAGTCAACTGTTTAATTCCGGTAATAAAATGAAATAAAATATTTATGCGATTAACCATCACCTCCTACATCAAGAAGTCTCCACACGGTCTTATATAAGTATTCCGCGCAGACTGTTTAAAAAGTGAACCAGTTGTGCGCATGAACCCAAAACCTTTTTTAAAAGTAATTGAGAGAAATTTATTTTATATATTTGAGAATTGAATTTGTAGTGGTTGAGAAGTGAATAAGGCAAACCAATAATATTCATAAATAAAATAATGTTTTAGTCTTATATTTGCTATCACTTTCTTATTTTAACTACATTCTTTATTAAATGACTCGTTCGTTAATTTGATATCCTTTCCCTGGGGCTATGTGGCTACTGTGCACCTGTGAAGCTCGGGGTAATACCTCGAAGGGAGGCGAGGCAGTCTGCCACAAAACCTCTTCTCTCAAACTTGTTTGTTCAATCTCACTACTTCATTTTAATTTTCTCTCAGTAAAAGATACTGAACCCCAACTTTCACCTTTCAGTTGCGCTTCGGCGATTTATTATTTATTTCCACTCAGATGAATTAGTTGGAGCCCCAAGCGGGGCTGATGCTAAGATAACCAACACATATGAGATGAGTAATTTGATATCCTTCATAGTGTTCTGATCAAACTACCTATAAAAAACCGTGTGGAGGCTTCCGGTTATAAGAGGCGTTGGATTAACCCACTAAGATATCGGGTGATAGAAAAATGTGGTTTATCACCACATTGCTCCAAACTTTTTAAAATAAAAATTGCTTATTCATTTTAATTTATTAATTAATTCATTTTTGTCCATTCAATTATATATATTTTATTTATTATTATAATTTGAAAGATGTGCAAGGTTTGCTAATTTTGTCAGTAGCAGTTAAAATTAAGAAATCATGTGGTAATGTATGTTTAAAATAACTTTTATAATAAATGCAGCTATAATTTTATACATAACTTTAGCTTTTTTAGTAGAAAATGTATGTAGCATGATAGTGTAACAGTGGATAATGTTTTGCTCTATTCTTGCTTTCCATGCAGATTTCATTTATGGCTGAGATTTATAACATGAACAGTAGATACTAATTTACAAAATAAAAGTGTATCAATTGCTATTTTAATTATGTCTAGTGTTTATGAATTTAAAACCTGTTTTGTGTTGTGTAAGTATCCAACGAATTTCTCATATAATAAACCTATTATTGGGACTTGGCGGCTTCGTTAACCCGTTTTGTCCCGAGTTTATGTATTGAAATTTTACAAAAAGTGGTTTTATGGAGAAAGTGGTATAAGATATTTCCGAAATTAATTGTTTTTTCTGCTGTTAGGGCATTCAAAAAGTCTTTGATAGATCTAAAAGTACTAGTCCTAGTGTTTAGATTTTACTGCCCCTATCCCATTCATCTGGAATTTTTGAACAGTTTTGGTTGAGCAATGAGGTAAGCAGGCAATGGAGTTGCTTTTATGAATGTTTCAAGCTCTTTGCTTGAATAACTAAAAAGGAATCAAAAATAAATTGAGCAGCTTGCTCTAAACTGTGTTTGTTTGATTTTGGAGTTGTTCAGAATTGTATCAGCATGAGTAAACGTTATTTTCAGAAAGGTTGATGAAATTATTTGTTTTGATAGTTATGATATGAGGCGTCGGAGGTGAAATGTGCAGCTATTGGTCTGTAGTTTTTATCTTTGATATAATTTTCAAATTTAAAGATTTCATTAAAATTTGCTGTTTTACATTCTATGGCTTTATCGAAAAAATCTGCGTTT